GCATCTCTGGCCTGTACCCCAGTTCTGTATGAATAAATAAATAAATCTTAAAAAAAATTGCACTTGAACTACCACTGCAATTCAGTGGAGCAAGAGTCATCTTGGTTGACACTGGAGTGGGTGGATATTTGCCTAGAAAAAAAAAAATGAGCCTTGACACCTCCCTCTCACCTATGCATGAAAATTAACTCAAGAGATACCCTACATCACGATGTTAAAGGGCACTTCTCAAACACTGGAGAACAGCCACATGAATTTGGCGACAGCATTTTAACAAACCTCCCTGGGTAATGGCTGCACAGGCTCAAGTTAATTAAGAACTAAAGTCTCAGCTCATAGAAACTTTAAGTCTTTTGAACTGCACTGCTGAATAGGGCTTTGCACAGTGGGAAGCCATGGGTGAGACTTCTGGCAGGTGGAAGAGACAAGCCGCAGTGAACCCAATGCTACAGTGTGTTGAGACTTAGGAAGATCACCCAATTTAACTATGTATTATTTATCTCCTTTTTCTTTCTGCTGGAAACATTACCAATGACATCTTCATTGGGCAGATCGGTGGCCAATACAACGGTGAGCAGTTTAAATCATTTTTTCAATGGGACATGAACTCCAAGGATGGAGCAGCTGCACCTCACAGGCAACCGCTGGTGAATGAGGTGAGAGCAGAGTTTTGGGAAAGGGAAATGGGGTCTGCTGTGCAGTGAATGGAGGTGGTATTGTTATGAGTTCTAGAGATCAGGTAGGTCTCCTTCCAGTTAACGGCAACTGTTGACAGGAGGTGGTCACCACCATCTTCCAACATCACGCCACCATGTCTGCTTCCAGTGACTTTTTCCACTGAGTCCAGCCAAGCTCAATGACTTTTCCCTCCGTCACTGTGTTTCTGTCTCTGGGAACGGCCTCCAGACTGGAAACCAGGACTTCCCCCCCCTCGACTCTTCACTCTGTTCCTCCCCTTCCCCTCTCTCAGCTCTCGGCCACGTCATCATCTGCCTGCATCTTGGTGAGGACCTCTGGAGCTGGCCTCCACTCTTGGGGGCTTGGCCCTCTCCAGGCTGTCCTGCCCACACTGGTCACACACTTTCTGGCATGGCTTTCTTTTCTCAGCACCTGAGAATGTGTGACCCATCATTATTGACAGCTTCCTCATTTCAAAATTCTTCAGTCATTCATTTTTAATTATACATTTAATACTTGGATTCTTTTTTTGAACATTTTATTTATATATTTTTGTATAGAAGAACTGGGGTGTAGTGGGGTGAGAGGATATACCAGAGACAGAGTGGGGAGCAGAACAGACGATTTACTGAATTACACTGAGGGGAGCAGCAGGTGCGACAGAAGAGGTCCGCTGAGCCATGTGGGTCAGCTCCCTGGCTGGGGATCGAACTCAGGCTGTTGTGATGGGTCACTGTGGTCATAGCACTGAGACTCAACCCAGACGCCCCCAGGGAGGCGATTGATGTATTCTTATTGTAAAAATGTCCAACCAGTAGAAAGCTTGCCCACCATCTCCAATTCCCATCCCTCTGCATATCGTTGTGATTAATCTGTGAGTATCCATCCACATTTCTCACTGCTATTTGTTTTGGAATCTGTATCTCTATAATCTACTTATTTACTGGTGCTTACATTTGGGCATGCCTACTGCCAATTTGAAGCACATAAATTTTCTATTCATAACTTGTTTCAGATGTTAGTTTGATCTTCCTTGATAGGACCTGAGTAACTCAAAAGACGTTCTTTTCCCTGCTCCTCCTTTACTCCATTGTTTATTGCTTGACCCGCTCACATAATAAGAGGTCGGGTTCTGCAGCCTGTGTCAATAATGCTGTTGCCTTTCCCGGGTAACTCCCTGCAGCCCAGTCTCGGCGCCACAATGAGCAAAGAAAAGTTAAGTTAAGTTTGGAACTCTTCTGTGGCATAAAGCGTATTTCAGAAAGTTCAATTGGTGAGCTGAGACCCACCATATACCAACAGGAGTTTATAGTTTTTGGAGAATTTGTACCTTATACTGACAGTATATGAGTGTTGCCAGGCACAGGGGGCTCAGGGGTGTCTTACCAACCAAATAGGTGAGGTGTGTGTTTATGTGCATTTTGTGTTTTTCTTATAGAGAACTTATTGGAATGGATATGGAGAAGGGAACACTTGGTGCCCAGGAGATCTGCCCGACCCTGAAATTGTAAGGATGGTCGAGGATCGAAAGACTCTTGGTGAGGTAAGTAAGGGATCCAGAAATTCCTTTAGTAACTAGTTAGTGATTAGTTTCTTTGTAAGATTGTGGTAGATGGACTGATGCTTTCCTTCCTCAAATAGTATTGCTTCCTTTTGGTCCCTGTCTAGTGATAATAATGCTGATGTTAGAAATGCCTGGGGGCACTCACCTATGCCCAGGTAAATTCCCATAGACATTTTCCCTTTTAAGCTAGTATTATAACTGGAAAAATCATTAGGGTCTTTTATGATTACAGATGCCCTTCAGCAGTAATCATCAGGGAACATTGAAAACATAAAGGTTAATTACGTGCACGATTTGAACACTGTCTAAGTCCTCATCAGCACACACCTACCGTTCACAGAAACTTTGGAAAGTATTATTAGTCTTCCGTAATTTCTTCTTTAGCAAGTGGAAATAAAACAACAAAAGCTAATACAGCTCATTAGTTAAAACTAATCATCAAAGCACTCAAAAAGTAAGGGTGAAAAAAATAATAGACATCTTTTTCCCGAAGCTATGGAATCACCTTTAGTGGACAAGTTATAGAAACGTCTCCTGCATGTTAATTGCTGCTTTATCATCCAAGCCTTGGAATCAAAGGGGTTGTGCTCTCTTTGGGTCCCCTGAGTGATTCTGGGGCCTATATTATCTGATATAAACATTGAAGGGAAAATGTCTCTGCCCTGGAAAATAGGACCTTCTCCGTGTTAGAGGTTATTATGCAAATCACCAGTTGAAGAACATTTTTGAACCTATTCCAAGTGATGGAAATATTTTCTAAATACTTGATCCCACTGGCTTGGGCCCATTGGTACCTGCTATTGCAGTGGTGTTCGTTCTCCTCTAGTAGCATGTTGGTTCTCATGCTGACATTGGTTCTGCTCAATAGGAATTAACAGATGACTATGAGCAACAGAAGGGCAAGGGAAGCTTTCCAGCCATGATCACACCTGCTTATCAAAGGGCCAAGAAAGCCAACCAGTTGGCTAGCCAAGTAAGTGCCCTGATGCTTATTGAACATTGACTCTGCTAATTTTTGTCATTAATGAACTTCAAGATTTGGAAAAAATCCAGTTAGAGAGTAGGTGCCATTAGCACAATATCATGGAGGAAATTGTAGTCTTATCCTTCCCCTATCAACTAATCCTCTGAACTTTGATTGGACCACATCTACCACCAGAGGGACCATGTGTCTCACCCAAGGACAGGGCCAAATGTAATTTCTTGAAGTCATTTTACCATTAAGGACACTGATTTTTATTTAATGAGATGCAAGATCCCCCAGAAGAGAGGCATAGCTTGTTGGTTCAGAGATCAGACTTTTGAAGACTGAATATTAGGATTTAAACCTTGTAGCCAATTATATACTTACCCTCTTTGTTCCTCAAATCCTCGCCTACCAAAAGGGGGAAACACCTAATCCTGCCCCGTGCAGTTGTTATGGAGATGAAATGAGTTAAGGCTTAGCCATACCAGGCCATTGGCAGCATTAATTTTTGAGAGGGAGCCATAAAGTAAGCCATGAACACTTGCCACTGCTTTGTATTGAGTGGAGGCTGACGGAGTCATTTCTGGAAATCTGCAAGGGAGGGCCACAGGGGGAGGGACAGTCATGACTCTATCTGTCTCCTCGGCAGGTAGAATACAAGAAAGGGCATGATGAACGTGTCTCCAGGTTCACCACTGTGGCGGATACCCCTGAGCTGCTTCGTGCCAAGGCCGGGGGACAGCTTCAAAGTGATGTAAGACATGATTCTCATTTAAGATCCTCACCATTCCCTTACTGGGAGATGAAAGGAGGTTGAATATAGAAGGAATCTCAGTCCTGCATTTGGTTCAGGCAGTTTTATCCCAGGTTGTGGGAATCCTGAATGGAAGAACTTTGTAAGGTCAAGAGAAGGCCACTTGGTGTAAATCATTGAGCACAGACCTTGTAGAAACTGTTTTAGAGCAAAAACTTTAGGTGGTGTTAGTAACATACCAGAATATTTTATTAATCTGAAAGAACTCTCTCCTGGTCAACTGCAAATGGTAGCACATAAATGTTAAGACTTTCTGGGCCTTCCCTGGCGGTACAGTGGGTTTAAGCACAGCACTGAGAAGCTAAAGCCACTTTAGCATGAGTTCGATCCCTGGATGCCCTGGACACGACCACATGGCATGGCAGACCTCTCCTGACCCGCCCACTGCTCCCCTCAGCAGTGTATTTCATCAGTCGGCCTATTCTGCTCCCCACTCTGTCTCTGGTGAATCCTCTCACTGCCCCTGCACCTCTGGTTTGTACCCCAGTTCTGTATGCATAAATAAATCTTTAAAAAAAATATTTTAAAGACTTTCTACCACCTCGTCATAGTCCCACAGCTCCACAGTGCAAGATCAAGGACTAAGTATTATTCTGAATCAGATATTTAAGCCCTACAGTCTTATGATTAGAGATGCCCTTCAGCAATATTCATCAGGGAACACGGACAAAATAGAGGTTAACTACACACACAGTCTGAACACTGTCTTTCTAGTCCTCATAAGCACACACCTACCCTTCACAGAAACTGGAAAGTATTATCAGTCTTTAGTGATTTCTTCTCTAGCAAGTAGAAAGAAGATAACAATAGGCAATACTGCTTACCGGTTAAACTGATCGTTCGGTCAATTTCATAAGTGGTTTCCACCTGCTTTGGGCTGAGAGCTTCTTTTGTCTCCTGAACTTGACAGGCAGCTCCTTGAGGGCAGAAGCCTTCTGCCTCTGCCCAGACTGGCATCTGCTCACCCTAACTGTCCACAAGTACGTGGTCATTTCCACATTGAGGGTGCCACATGCCAGGCATGGTGCTGGGTATTGGGAATAAAGAGGTGAATAAAATCACATAGCCCATCATGCTATCAGCCCGTGGTGTCGCCATAGGAGCTGAGACGCATGATGTGATGCACAGCGTCTCTCTGGGTTGCCTGGTGGGTAGCGTGAGGGCAGCTGTGATTCACTTTTTTTACCCCCATTTTCTAGGTGAGATACACAGAGGACTATGAATCAGAGCTGCGTGAGGGCAGCTGTGATTCACTTTTTTTTCCCCCATTTTCTAGGTGAGATACACAGAGGACTATGAACAACAGAGAGGGAAGGGCAGCTTTCCAGCCATGATCACACCTGCTTATCAAA